ACTTGAGATAAAGATAATGAAAGCCCAGCAGAATATTCAGATCATAATGCCATCTTTTGTGTTTGACAGATAACGTTGGTGCATTAGGTCAAGAAGCTCTGAACAAGTCATTTGCAACTTCTCTTCTACAATAACTATTCTTCTTTCCTTTCATTTCATTGCCAGGAATTGCCCAGTTGTTTTTAGCCTTCATACTTCTGCAAATATGTTTTCTCTTTAATCCCGCTTAGTATGAGATTTCAGTATGCTGGCTGACATCAAACTCATTTTTTAAGATAATCATTCAGGTTGATTTAGCTTGTTAAATGCTCTTTCCCATGACTTCATCAAGGTCCCGTCTGCCCTTCGCATCATTCCATGTGTTCTTACCACACATTCTCAGTCACTTTTTTTCGGGTGTTGATACGAGTGCATTAAACCAGCAAGGCTAATGTGGAGAATCTTGTTAGCTTCCTTTTAGACCATCCCAATGCGTTTCCTCCCCTGCATTAATAACATTCACATCTATTCAGCATATGAAATAGTATCAAACCAGCCATTAACCTCAAATGTTTCACAGTATTTCTATAAAGCGATACACGTTTATCCAACCTGGCTAATTCGCAACTTAATTTAAACTAGTGCTTGAAATGTATGTGTGTGTGCATATATATATATGTGTGTGTTTGTGTATGTTACTGTATAATATATGTGTGTGTTTGTCTACCTAAACATACATACATATATGTGTATGTGTGTGTTTATGTACATAGACATACATATATGTGTCTGTGTTTGTGTATATAGGCGTATACATATATACATACATATATATATATGTGTGTGTGTGTGTTTATGTACATAGACATACATACATATATGTGTGTTTGTGTACATAGGCATATGTATACATATATATGCCTGCGTGTGTGTTTAACACAAGATTTATCAATCGTTTTATTTGAGCATCAATGCATTTACTGTTTATGTGTGTAAATATGTGCATGTGTTATATGTATGTTTTTTTTTCCTGCTTACACGTACAGATGGTGTTAATGTGCATGCGTTCATATATTTTTATATGTACGGATGTTTATGAGTTCGAGAGTATTATGTGATGCATAACAGTATGCGTGTGGATGTGTTTATGCGCATGTATGTGTGTGTAGTAAAAAAGCAGATATACAAGTGCCTCTCTACGTATGTGCACTGTGTGCCTGCGTACATGTGTACATGTTTTTGTATATATCTATATATGTAAGTAATGTTTATTTGTGTGTGTATATATAAAAGTGTATGTATATGTTGATATGCTTGACTCCAAACTATCCGTGCGTATTTCTGTAATAATAATTACATAAAAATTATGTAGCTTAAAAATGAGTCATCAGGTATTTAAACCTAAATAAGTCTCCCTCTTCGTCTTCGCTGACCTTGTGAACACAGGTATCAAGGTTGAAGACTTACCGTATATAAAGCATCCACAGATCTTAAAGGCGGACTAGTTACTCGTCTGGACGTTGTGCAAAATGGTCAATACTGTCTTGATTTAAACTGATTTCTCTGAAGCTACCTTGGTTAAAGCAAATGTGTAAAAAAGTATCTATCAGACATTCCATTTGTAAATGATGTTATTCTTTTCAGGAAATCTTTCTGACCACCGTGAGCATTACCCTTTTGTGCTCACACGCCTTCGCTGCGAGTAACTACTTGGGATTTGCCCACGGGACGCCACTTGGAGGATTTTCGCAACACGGCACTCTTCACGGTGGTTTCATCCCCAGTGGTCTTTATGACACCGGTACGTCCCTTGTCAACCACGGACTACCTACCATTGGGACATTTTCCAGGACTGATATACGGAAATGGAGGCTACGCATACGGCACTGGTGCATATTTTGGAAATCCATATGGAAAAGCAAGGTATCTCAAATACTTATACGGAAACAGACTAGGTCTTGTCAACCCATTTGGTGGAGTTAGCGAGGCTGAGGGTGAAAGATCGTCTGGCTCTGGATCAGAGAGCGCGCTTGGTGCTACAAATGGTGCAGATTTCCTTTCCAACAATCAAAACGCTGATTCCATTCGAACTGGAATTCGTGGTTTACATTCCAGTCCCATTGCTGGCTTGGGTGTCTTCCCTTCCGCTCTTCTTCCTCACACTTCCAGTGTTGCTTTCGGAGCATACCCTTATGCTCTTGGACCTCACACTTCCATTGCTGGTTTCGGAGGATTCCCTTATGGTGCTGGACATCACAGCTCTGTTGCCTTTAGTGGAATCCTCCCTAATGTTGGAGCTGCGGGCGCATTCCCATATGGTCTTCAGCCTCACACCCCTATTGATCATCTAGCTGGATTCCCTTATGGTGTTGGACATCACTCTCCCATTGCTGGATTCCACTCAGGTCTTGGACCGTACGCTCATAGTGGCAGACTCAACGCTGCTTTTGGGCAAAATACCTCCAACGCTGCTTTTAGGTCTCGTACCTCAGCCAGTATGTCCTCAGGGAACAAGGAAGCACAGAACGAGTAACCAGTTAAGACAGAAGATAAGATGAGAATAAAAGACTTCCAATACTTTTTTGTTATTATTGATCTTCGATATGAAACCCTTTTGTAAGAACAGTATTGTAATCAGATATCAAGAATTTACATCAGATTAATGTTTAAGTATTTTCATTTATACTTTGCTATAATATTTCACTGCATTTCATATGATCCTTGTATATATATATATATATATATATATATATATATAACATGCACGGATACAAATAAACATATATCCATACATATGTGTATATACATATCAATATATATATATATATATATATATATATCAACATATGTGTGTGTGACTCCTGTACATAAATAAACAAATTTATGTGTAAATATGTATATGTATAATGTGTATACATATATATACATACACGTAGTAGGAGAAAGAAGTAAATAAATATGTATATATATACACACATGCATACACGCACCTATATATATGTATATATATATAGGTGTGTGTGTGTGTGCATACATGCACACAAAGTATGTGTATATACATATAGATGCATATTCATAGGCAAACACACACACGCATACACACACACACACATATATATATATATATTCATGTTATACACATGTATATACGTACATACACGCACACACACATACATATATATGTGTGTATATATATATATATATATATACACACTGTGTATGTGTGTGTATATATAAATATACATGTATGTACACATTGCATATATATATAAATAAATGTATGTACATACTGCATATATACATATATATATATATATATATATATATATATATATATATATATATATATATATATAGTGTTATTCCATTTGTTACAATGAATATTCTTGGTGTGATATGCTGTCTATTTTATTTTGCCTCAAAATTCCTCTCTGTGTGCAAGGAATGGCCGGGGTTACTATCCGCTGGCAGCGAGGGATTTGAACGCAAGATTGCTAGACGCTACCGCTGCACCACACAGCATACTATATGAATGTATATACATGTATGCGTCTCCACAAAGTAGATAACAAAATGGGAATATAAGTCTTTATTCATATGTGCAAACATATATCATACAATATATATACATGTATATATGTATATATATATAATTATAAATTTGCATATATACATAAATATATTTTCAAATTTGCATATATACATAAATGTATTTATAACTTTGTATACATACATAAATGTATTTATATATTCAATAACACATATTTGTTTATATATATATATATACACTTATCTCTCTTTACACACACACACACACACATATATATATAGCTCTGTGGTTAGAGCACTGGACTCCGACCCTCGTGGTCCCGGGTTCAATCCCCCGTCGCGGCTGTTGTAAAAATGCCTGCGCTCTGACTGCTTGCTCAAGCCCGAGAAAACGACATATCGGCTTGAGAAGTCAAACGCAGGTGTTGTAGGGGAAGTCACCACCGTGGTACAAGTGTTAATGCGCCGAATCGCGGTTGATTAGGAAGGGCATTCAATCAGGCAATGGTGACACTGCCATATAACCTCTCAATACTGAATTGAGAGAAGCCTATGTCCTGCAGTGGAATGAATGGCTGTTGAAAAAAATATATATGTGTGTGTGTGTGTATTAATGAATATATATAAATAAATATATATATATATATATATACATATATACAGTATATATACACTATATATACACTATATATATGTGTATGTGTATATATACATATATATGTGTATATATATATATATATATACATACATATATATAAAAGTATACACTGTATATATGAATATATGTATATATACATGGGTATAAATATAAAAAAATATGAATATATACAAATGCATATATATACATATATATGTGTGTGTGTTTGTGGGTCAATGTATATACATGTATGTATGTATGTATATATATACATATATTATACATATATATTATATGGGTATATATATGTATATATGTATATATATGCATGTGTATATTTCATGTATAAATATCTGCAAATATATACATATGCTCACATACATGTATAACATTATGAATATATGTGTTTATACATACATTTGCACACACACATGCACAGAAATATGAATATGCATATATATGTGTGTATGTATGTGTGCTTATTATATACACACGCACGCACACATGTATACGTACACACACACACACATATATATATTTATGTGTGTATAATTATGCGTATACATATTATTTATTTACTTATTCATATATTTATATGTACGTGTATATGTAAACATGGATATATATAAAGTTAGCCATCTGGAATATTCGTGTGACAAAGTGTGTTTGTGGTTGTGCGCTTAAAAGTTGACGTTTTGCAGAAAGCCACAGAAGCCTTTTATGAAATAAACGCATCCGCGTTCATTACTCGGACAAAAATAATTGCACCACTTCGCTGTGACCTTGTGCTGCTGAGTATTCAGATCGGAGACCAGTATATAAAGCATCCGCGGTTCTCGGAGACAGAACAGTCAGTGCAGGGAATCTGACAGAATGGTTAGTAACATTATTCGTTGAAAGTCGGAATTTATATAGAATGTTTCACTGCCTAACGTGAAACAGCGATAAAGAATAGATACGAAAAAAGCAATATACATCTTTATTTTTTTCTAAAACTCACTGCTAGTCTAATTGATATAATGGTTAATTATATGTTTACTAATGTGTTTACAATGTTCTAAAATGGTATTATTTAATTTAGTAATAATAAAATGTAAAATGCTGTAATACGCTTTTCAAAAAAAAAAAAAAAAAAAAAAAAAAAAAAAGAGAGAAAACTAAAATAAATGAAAAATGTTTAAATTTCAGAAATTCTTCCTATTTACCGTGAGCACCGCCCTCTTGTGCTCCCACGCCCTCGCTGCGAGCAGCTACTTGGGACTTGCCCACGGGACGCCACTCGGAGGATTTTCGCAACACGGTTTCATCCCCGGTGGTCTTTATAACAACGGTGCATCCCTTGTCAACCACGGACTACCACTGGGACATTTACCAGGACCCAGATACGGAAAATATGGAGGCTACTTGGATTTCGCATACGGCACTGGTGCACATTTTGGAAATCCATACGGAAAAGCAAGCTTTCTTAAATATTTATACGGAAACCGCCTAGGTCCTTGCCAACTCGTACGGCGCTCTACCAAATGTTAGAGTCGGTGGAGTTAGCGAGGCTGAGGATGAAAGATCGTCTGGCTCTGGGTCCATCAATCAAAATGTGGATTCCACTCGAACTGGAATTCGTGGTTTACATTCCAGTCCCATTGCTGGCTTGGGTGGCTTCTCTTCCGCTCTTCTTCCTCACACTTCCAGTGTTGCTTTAGGAACATACCCTTATGCTCTTGGTCCTCACACTTCCATTGCTGGTTTTGGAGGATTCCCTTATGGTGCTGGACATCACAGCTCTGTTGCCTTTAGTGGAATCCTCCCTAATGTTGGAGCTGCAGGGCGCATTCCCATATGGTCTTCAGCCTCACACCCCTATTGATCATCTAGCTGGATTCCCTTATGGTGTTGGACATCACTCTCCCATTGCTGGATTCCACTCAGGTCTTGGACCGTACGCTCATAGTGGCAGACTCAACGCTGCTTTTGGGCAAAATACCTCCAACGCTGCTTTTAGGTCTCGTACCTCAGCCAGTATGTCCTCAGGGAACAAGGAAGCACAGAACGAGTAACCAGTTAAGACAGAAGATAAGATGAGAATAAAAGACTTCCAATACTTTTTTGTTATTATTGATCTTCGATATGAAATCCTTTTGTAGGAACAGTATTGTAATCAGATATCAAGAATTTACATCAGATTAATGTTTAAGTATTTTCATTTTTACTTTGCTATAATATTTCACTTCATTCCATATGATACTTGCATATATATATATATATATATATATATAACATGCACGGATACAAATAAACATATATCCATACATATGTGTATATACATATCAATATATATATATATATATATATATATATATATATCAACATATGTGTGTGTGACTCCTGTACATAAATAAACAAATTTATGTGTAAATATGTATATGTATAATGTGTATACATATATATACATACACGTAGTAGGAGAAAGAAGTAAATAAATATGTATATATATACACACATGCATACACACACCTATATATATGTATATATATATAGGTGTGTGTGTGTGTGTGCATACATGCACACAAAGTATGTGTATATACATATATATGCATATTCATAGGCAAACACACACACGCATACACACACACACACATATATAAATATATTCATGTTATACACATGTATATACGTACATACACGCACACACACATACATATATATGTGTGTATATATATATATATATATATATATACACACTGTGTATGTGTGTGTATATATAAATATACATGTATGTACACATTGCATATATATATAAATAAATGTATGTACATACTGCATATATACATATATATATATATATATATATATGTATATATATATATATATATGTATATATATATATATAGTGTTATTCCATTTGTTACAATGAATATTCTTGGTGTGATATGCTGTCTATTTTATTTTGCCTCAAAATTCCTCTCTGTGTGCAAGGAATGGCCGGGGTTACTATCCGCTGGCAGCGAGGGATTTGAACGCAAGATTGCTAGACGCTACCGCTGCACCACACAGCATACTATATGAATGTATATACATGTATGCGTCTCCACAAAGTAGATAACAAAATGGAAATATAAGTCTTTATTTATATGTGCAAACATATATCATACAATATATATACATGTATATATGTATATATATATAATTATAAATTTGCATATATACATAAATATGCTTTCAAATTTGCATATATACATAAATGTATTTATAACTTTGTATACATACATAAATATATTTATATATTCAATAACACATATTTGTTTATATATGTATATATACACTTCTCTCTCTTTACACACACACACACACACATATATATATAGCTCTGTGGTTAGAGCACTGGACTCCGACCCTCGTGGTCCCGGGTTCAATCCCCCGTCGCGGCTGTTGTAAAAATGCCTGCGCTCTGACTGCTTGCTCTAGCCCGAGAAAACGACATATCGGCTTGAGAAGTCAAACGCAGGTGTTGTAGGGGAAGTCACCACCGTGGTACAAGTGTTAATGCGCCGAATCGCGGTTGATTAGGAAGGGCATTCAATCAGGCAATGGTGACACTGCCATATAACCTCTCAATACTGAATTGAGAGAAGCCTATGTCCTGCAGTGGAATGAATGGCTGTTGAAAAAAAAATATATATATGTGTGTGTGTGTGTGTGTATTAATGAATATATATAAATAAATATATATATATAAATATACATATTTACAGTATATATACACTATATATACACTATATATATGTGTATGTGTATATATACATATATATGTGTATATATATATATATATATATATATATATATAAGTATACACTGTATATATGAATATATGTATATATACATGGGTATAAATATAAAAAAATATGAATATATATAAATGCATAAATATACATATATATGTGTGTGTGTGTGTTTTGGGTCATTGTGTATACATGTATGTATATATATACATATATTATACATATATATATTATATGGGTAAATATATGTATATATGTATATATATATGCTTGTGTATATTTCATGTATAAATATCTGCAAATATATACATATGCTCACATACATGTATAACATTACGAATATATGTGTTTATACATACATTTGCGCACACACATGCACAGAAATATGAATATGTATACATATATGCGTATGTATGTGTGCTTATTATATACACACGCACGCACACATGTATACGTACACACACACACACACATATATATATATGTATGTATTTATATGTGTGTATAATTGTGCGTATATATATTATTTATTTACTTATTCATATATTTATATGTACGTGTATATGTAAACATAGATACATATAAAGTTAGCCATCTGGAATATTCGTGTGACAAAGTGTGTTTGTGGTTGTGCGCTTAAAAGTTGACGTTTTGCAGAAAGCCACAGAAGCCTTTTATGAAATAAACACATCCGCCTTAAGTTCATAACTCGGACAAAAATAATTGTACCACTTCGCTGTGACCTTGTGCTGCTGAGTATTCAGATCGGAGACCAGTATATAAAGCATCCGCGGTTCTCGGAGACAGAACAGTCAGTGCAGGGAATCTGACAGAATGGTTAGTAACATTATTCGTTGAAAGTCGGAATTTATAGAGAATGTTTCACTGCCTAACGTGAAACAGCGATAAAGAATAGATACAAAAAAAAGCAATATACATCTTTTTTTTTCTAAAACTCACTGCTAGTCTAATTGATATAATGGTTATCTATATGTTTACTAATGTGTTTACTATGTTCTAAAATGGTATTACTTAATTTAGTAATAATAAAATGTAAAATGCTGCAATAAGCTTAAAAAAAAAAAAAAAAAAAAGAAAACTAAAATAAATGAAAAATGTTTAAATTTCAGAAATTCTTCCTATTTACCGTGAGCACCGCCCTCTTGTGCTCCCACGCCCTCGCTGCGAGCAGCTACTTGGGACTTGCCCACGGGACGCCACTCGGAGGATTTTCGCAACACGGTTTCATCCCCGGTGGTCTTTATAACAACGGTGCATCCCTTGTCAACCACGGACTACCACTGGGACATTTACCAGGACCCAGATACGGAAAATATGGAGGCTACTTGGATTTCGCATACGGCACTGGTGCACATTTTGGAAATCCATACGGAAAAGCAAGCTTTCTTAAATATTTATACGGAAACCGCCTAGGTCTTGCCAACTCGTACGGCGCTCTACCAAATGTTAGAGTCGGTGGAGTTAGCGAGGCTGAGGATGAAAGATCGTCTGGCTCTGGGTCCATCAATCAAAATGTGGATTCCACTCGAACTGGAATTCGTGGTTTACATTCCAGTCCCATTGCTGGCTTGGGTGGCTTCTCTTCCGCTCTTCTTCCTCACACTTCCAGTGTTGCTTTAGGAACATACCCTTATGCTCTTGGTCCTCACACTTCCATTGCTGGTTTTGGAGGATTCCCTTATGGTGCTGGACATCACAGCTCTGTTGCTGCTGTTAGTGGAATCCTCCCTAATGTTGGAGCTGCAGGCGCATTCCCTTATGGTCTTCAGCCTCACACTCCTATTGATTATTTAGCTGGATTCCCTTATGGTGTTGGACCTCACTCTCCCCTTGCTGGTTCAACTGGATTCCACGCAGGTCTTGGGCCTCACACTTCGGTAGCAGGTGTGGGTGGACTGTCTCCTTATCTTGGTCCGTACGCTGCTGGTGCTGGTTTTAGCAGACGCAACGCCGCTTTTGGACAAAATACCCCCAACGCAGCCAACATGTCTTCAGGGAACAAGGAAGCACAGAACGAGTGACCAGTTAAGACAGAAGATATATGTGTGAGAATAAAATGACTTCCAATATTTTGTTTTTGTTTAATCTTCGATATAAAATCCTTTTGTATGAACAGTATTGTAATATTTCCATTTATACTTTGCTATAATATTTCGGTTATCTTCCGGCATTTTAAAGAAGGTTCACTACATTTCATATATTTCCATGTACACATATATACACAATAACATACACGGATACAAATAAACATATAACCATACGTATGTGTATATACATATATTTTTTATTATATGTATATATATGCATTTGTATACATTGTACATATCAATATATGTGTGTGACTCCTATACATGTGTATAGATTACGCTCACGCTCCCATTGCTGGTTCAACTGGATTCCACACAGGTCTTGAGCCTCACACATCAGTTGCAGGTGTGGGTGGACTGTCTCCTTACCTTGGACCGTACGCTGCTGGTGCTGGTTTTGGCAGATTCATCGCAACTTTTGGACAAAATACCCCCAATGCCGCTCAGCCAACATGTCTTCAGAGAACAAAGACAAGAAGCACAGAAACAATAACTTTATATGACAGAAAGAAATGCAAAAAGATTTATAGTTTTGAGAGAATAAGGTTACTTTAATCATTTATTTTGTAATTCAACCCTGAAAACATCCTTTCCTTCTTATTTCAATAAATGCTTTCGTTAAAACAGTAAATGAGTATTTGAATTTAATTAATGTTTAAGCATTCATAGTTTTATTTGGATGGAACATTTCTATTGCTTATTATGCTTATTCGTGCCCTGAAAAATCAGTAGAGCGAAAAGGCCTTCGCATTTAAGAGTCATTTCTTTCTCTTCCCTCCTTGTTTTAGTGACAAGGTGTATGGTGTAAGATATAGCATGCCTATTTCAGGATAAATCTTGAAAAAAAGTAATATGCGAACATGATTTTAAATTAAGATCTCTGATCGTTCGGCATTTTTCCTTTCTTTTGCGGATGTTCTGACATGCTATTTCTTAATTCTTAAGAGGGATCTGTTATATCAATTGCTGTTATTGAATTTTCCATCCAATGTCGGACCTTTTTGTGTCACTTTTTATTATAACATTTATAAAAAAAAGAAAAAAAAAACAGCATTTCAGCTTTCAAAACTCGAAGTGACGGCAACAGAAAAAAATTCGTTCAACAATTTTCTCTTCGAGCAAATATCTCCACAAACTGAATATACCTATAAACTAAAACCAATGAATATAAAGTATTTCTGATGAAATAGATTATCTGATTTGGAAAGAGAGGATACCCAGAAATTACCAAACTAACAAATCTGAACATACATTTCACATACATTCAAACACATGCACATATACATATATACATATAGGTACATATACATACATATATAGATATATGCATATGTCAGGTTCTTCAATCAGGGATCAGACAAGGATAGTTGCAAAGGCACAGGCAAACTTAATAAGCCCTTTATTTACGAGAAAGTTATACACGTGGCATGTAACAATAGCACAGAACAGGAGTACAAGGGGCACAGAATAATGAGCAAAAAACACAGTCACAAGTACATCACAGCGAATCGGTCACAGTACAACGTTTTCGAGCCGACTATATTACAAAGTCACCGCACTTAGTCACATGCACACAATCACATAAAAGTCACTGCACTTTCACTGTACTCCACCGTCACTACACTTAGTCACAAACACTGTGCTACACGTTTTAGTCACTACACTGGTCGCAAGACACTTGGAACAATCACTGAATCCAGGGAGGCGCGGGCACGTAACCGGAGGGGAGAGTCGACTGCCGAAAAACTGGCCGGTGCCCCTTTTATCCTTCCCAACGGTGTTTACGGCGACATCCTCGTTCCCACGTGCGGGGAGATGGCCAATCACAGATGACCTAAGCCCGCCCACCGGGGTCGAGTACGCATCGCGGAAGGTCCTGAGCATACCCGAGATGAGTTCTTTCCGGCGGCCAATCACAGGCGAGCTATGGCCGCCTCCCGGGCCCCGGTAAACATCGCCACATGAGCGTAGTGCCCAAGATGAACTTGACATCTCGCCCCATCTTCTTAAGATAATTATCCGGAGTGGATATTATCTACAAAGCATCTTGGGCACAGGGCTTCCTGATTCCCCTAGCCTGGTGCACTGTCGATCTCCTCCGGCGAGTGTGCTCTGCTAAGGAAATCAGCCCCGATGTTTTCACTTCCTTTGATTGATCGCACTTGGATCCGAAAGTTCTGCAGGTACATGGCCCATCGCATGATCCTTGCATTCACATATTTCGTCCTTCCTAGGTAGGCCAGGGGTTGATGGTCTGTCTGTAATATGAACCGTGTATTGTAGACGTAGTTACTGAATTTCTTCACGGCCCAGACGACAGCCAGACATTCTTTTTCCATGGTCGAGTACCTCCTCTCAGAGCTAGATAACTTCTTGCTGGCATAGCTTACAGGGAACAATTCGCCATCCCACTCCTGCAGCAAGACAGCGCCTATGCCCGTATCTGATGCATCGGTGCGTAGGATGTATGGACGAGAGTGATCGGGGAGTCTCAGAATGGGCTGATTGGTCAGGAGCGACTTGAGAGAGGAATATGCTGCTTCTTGAGGATCATCCCATTGTACTTTATTCGGCTGCCCCCTCTTGGTTAAATCAGTAAGGGGGGCAGCAATGCTGGCATAGTTGGCAATATACTGCCTGTAGTATCCCGTCAAGCCAAGAAATGCCCGCACTTCTTTCTTGGTTTTGGGGCGCGGCGCTTGCCTAATCTTCACCAGATTATCTTCTAATAATCCCATGGATCCGTTAGAAAGCACATGCCCAATGAACTCCACCCTGTCGGTTGCCAGAGTGCATTTAGACGGCCTGGCTGTCATCCCGGCTGCACTGATCCTACTAAAAAGCTCCTCCAGAAGCTGAAGATGTTGCTCCCAAGTGGCTGAATGGACGATAATATCATCAATGTAACTCTCAACTCCACTCATTCCTTTCAGAAGGATCTTGATGGCCCGCACGAGGGTTGCTCCGGCGTTCACCATCCCAAATGGCATCCGCAGGAACTCGTACTGTCCGTCTGGTGTCACAAAAGCTGTCTTGTGGATGTCTTCCTCGGCCACCGGTATTTGCCAGTATCCTTTGCTGAGGTCGATCTTGGAGAAATATTTCGCCCCACCCAGCTTGTGCAGTAGGTCCTCTGCGGTGCTCATCGGCATAGGATCGAACTGAACCTTTTTGTTGAGCTGGCGGTAGTCTACACACACCCGATATGTTCCATCTCTTTTCTTCACCACCACAACTGGTGATGCATATGGTGAACGGGATTCTCGGATGATTCCTGTGTCCAACATCTCCTGCACCTCGGTTTGCAGGGCTTCCCTGAGTTTATACGGGACAGGGTATGGTCTTGCTCGAACAGGTATCTCGTCGCTTGTTTGGATATGATGGGTGATGAGGTCAGTTACTCCCGGAAGCCCGGAAAATATATCCTGATACTGTTCAGCTAAGTTCTCTAGTTCAGCGCGCTGAATGGAGGATAACTGCTGTCCCACCTTAACTTGGCCTTGCGAGCGAGAGTCTCTCCGATCGAGGTCCTCTAGGAGGTCTTCCGAGATGGCGCTCTCACTGGTGTTCTCCTCCCATTCAATCACTGCGGCGGCAGCATTCTCAACATTATGAGCTGAGGGGGAGTCTGTGTTGGGGTCATCACTCGTGATCGCCAGTTGTTGGTGACCTGCACAGTCTGTGCGTCTGACGTAGCGTTTCAGGAGGTTGGCATGAAAGGTCTTCAGTTTGCCGCCAACTCTTAACTGGTACACGTTGCCCCGGCGAGCTTCCACAGTCAGGGGCCCCTTCCACTGCATCAGCAGTTTATTGTGGGTGGCCGGCAGCAGGACCAACACCTCATCGCCTACCTTGAACGATCTTGCCTTCGTCTTGCGGTCGTAGTGTTTCTTGTACTGGCTCTGGGCTCCTTCCAAGTTCTCTCTTGCCAGAGCCATGGTCTCCTCAAGCCTTTTGCGGAGGTCGAACACATACTGATAACTTGTTTGCACCTGCGGGGCGAGTCTTTCACCTGTCCATAACTCCCGCAGGATCCCCATAGGACCCCGGACCTCACGCCCATATAAAAGTTCAAATGGGGCGAAACCAGTGGAGGAATGGGGTACTTCACGATAGGCAAACAGAAGGGGGCTTAGATATCGGTGCCACTGGCGGGGCTGCTCCGCGCATAGACGACGCAACATAGCTTTGAGGGTGCCGTTGAATTTCTCGACCAGGCCATTGCTCATGGGATGGTAAGGGGTCGTTGGCAGCTGCTTCAAGCTAAGCAGACGGCTCACCTCGTGCATGCAGTCGGACATGAATTGGGTTCCCTGATCATGGATAATTTCCTCTGGTATGCCCAGCCGGCTGTAGATTTCCATGAGAGCCTCTGCCACAACCTCAGTCGTGATCCTTTTCAGGGGGACTGCCTCAGGGTACCTGGTTGCGTAGTCTACCAGCGTGAGGATGTACCGGTGGCCTTCACTGGACGCTGGCTTTATGGGACCAACGAGGTCCACTGCAACCCGCTTGAAGGGAGTGTCGATCAAGGGCGTTTTCTGTAGAGGAACCTTGGGTACGGAGCCCCGTTTCACCGTCCTTTGGCACACGTCACATGATTGGCAGAAGCGTCTGACATCAGATGCACAACCAGGCCAGAAGAAATTGCTGAGGACCCTGTCCTTCGTCTTTCTGGTGCCCAGATGACCTCCCATAAGAGAGCAGTGAGCCACATCCATCACCTGACTTCTCAGTGGCGTGGGAACAACGACCTGGCGAAGTGGATGCTCATGTTTTCCTCTCGGATGGCTTGCAACCCGATAGAGGACGTCGTCGATTATTTCATACCATATCTCACGTCGTCCTCTACCTCGGACTTCCGTGAGCCCTCTGAACTTGTCCAAAGTGGTGTCGAGATGTTGCTGCTCGACCAATTGGGCCTTGTTCAAGGATGTGCATGGCGAGCCGGCCGGGGTCTTTAGTGTCTCCTGCTGTCTTCTCGTGGCTGCCCTGGTTGTTGCTGCGCCTGCCAGCCGTTTGGTCTGCTTCGGGGGCCCTGCACCAGGAATTTCCCCAATGATGAGGTCAGCAATGAGGTTCGGCATGCATAAACCGTCCACCTGCCCCTGCAGGTATGGGGTGTCGACCCATATCCGCACCGGCCATGCCCTCCTGACCGTGTTGTCCAACAGCTTTATCTGGACAGGCCTCCCTGTATACTCGCTGTCCTTTACGTATTTTGCCTTCACGATCACCGTTGTACAGCCGGTATCGCGAAGGACGTTGACTCTCCTTCCCCCGACTTTGCCCTCCGCCAGGTTTAGTCTGCCGTTGGCAGTGGTGGCTCCGACTCCTGCGTACAAGGTGGTGGGAAAGTTCCTGATGCCCAAGTCACTCTTGGGATATACTGTGTGCCGTTGGAGGTCCGGTAATCCGTCATCTTCTGGTGGTTCTGCTGCCTTTGGAGGACACTGTCAGGCCTCATACATGATGTCGTCCATCCCCAAATCCTCTGCTTCGGCGGCTGCGGCACGAGCGGTATGTGGCCGTTCACGCGGACGGTCCGTGCCACTCCTTTGCTGTGTCAGAGGGCACCCTGTGGCTCTGTGTCCGATGCGGTTGCATCGAAAGCATCTGGGAGGCGCAGGTCCTGTGGTCGGTCGCCGATCTCCTCCGGCCTTGGGCGTGGCGCGATCATCGACCCGATTCTTGGAGGCTAATGGACCGGACGATGATCCCTGGTTTGTGCTGCCAATCGTCGACAAGCCCCGTGCCTCCATGTACAGACTAACATGGTCGACGAGCTCACTGCTATTTTTCGGCGCCCGCTCACGCACAAACATTGCCAGCTCTTTGCTGCATTTATTCAGGAACTGTTCCTTGACCATTAACCACTTTAATCCTTCGTAGTCGCGGGTCACTCCTGATTGTAGGACCCACCTGTCGAAGCAGTCCTCGAGCTTACACATAAATTGAAGTGGTGTGTCTTTCTGTGCTGCCTGGTCACTCTCCCGGAACTTCTTCCGGTAGCCTTCTTCTGTAAGGTTGTACCGGGCCAGTAGTGCCTTTTTTAGCACGTCGTAATCGAGCTGGCTGCTGGGGGGCAAGTGCGTGAAAACATCCAGGGCTGCACCTGAGAGTGTATTCCCCAGATGGGCAGACCAGTGTCGGTGGGGAAGTTCTACCTGTGTTGCCCAGTTTTCGAATCTCCGCACGAACGAGTCAATGCTGTCCCGACCGTCGACAAACTGGGGAAAGGGGAGGTGAGGACCTCTAGCAGAGTATACACTAGGCAGGATGGGGCCTTGATCTCGTCTCTCTGATTTCTGTTCTTCCGCTTCGCGTCGCCGCCGATCCTTCCGCTCCCGCACACGCTCCTTCCTTTGTCGCTCCCTGTCTTCATAGTACCGTTCCAGCTCTTCTCGTCGAATTCTCTCCTGTTCTTGTATATAGTGCAGGAAGGCTTCCCCCTCGATGCCGATCTTCTCTGCCTCCATCACATAATCACGTGTATTAGACCTTTGTGGCAACTCGTTGTCTGATCCTGGCAAGGTCGCCATTGTCAGGTTCTTCAATCAGGGATCAGACAAGGATAGTTGCAAAGGCACAGGCAAACTTAATAAGCCCTTTATTTACGAGAAAGTTATACACGTGGCATGTAACAATAGCACAGAACAGGAGTACAAGGGGCACAGAATAATGAGCAAAAAACACAGTCACAAGTACATCACAGCGAATCGGTCACAGTACAACGTTTTCGAGCCGACTATATTACAAAGTCACCGCACTTAGTCACATGCACACAATCACATAAAAGTCACTGCACTTTCACTGTACTCCACCGTCACTACACTTAGTCACAAACACTGTGCTACACGTTTTAGTCACTACACTGGTCGCAAGACACTTGGAACAATCACTGAATCCAGGGAGGCGCGGGCACGTAACCGGAGGGGAGAGTCGACTGCCGAAAAACTGGCCGGTGCCCCTTTTATCCTTCCCAACGGTGTTTACGGCGACATCCTCGTTCCCACGTGCGGGGAGATGGCCAATCACAGATGACCTAAGCCCGCCCACCGGGGTCGAGTACGCATCGCGGAAGGTCCTGAGCATACCCGAGATGAGTTCTTTCCGGCGGCCAATCACAGGCGAGCTATGGCCGCCTCCCGGGCCCCGGTAAACATCGCCACATGAGCGTAGTGCCCAAGATGAACTTGACAGCATACATCTTATACATATGCGTGTGTATACACACACACTTGTATATACATATAAAAAGAGAGAGTACACATGCATACGCTCTAAAACACGTACAAACGCATACATACAGTGTGTATGTGTGGGCATGTAAATGAATATATATATTTAGTTTGTGTTTATCTGTAAATGTATATATATACATATATATAGACACATCAGTTTATCAGTTTAACATATCATTTCTGTTGACTAGTTTGTTTATTTTTCCTGACAAAGTATGTTCAGACAAAAGTGTCAGCAGTTTTTGGAAAACCACATTTATAAACTCGTGATTAACGACAACCTGAATTCTTGATACATTGTGTATATACACATATATTCACAAACACACATATATATGTATGCATGTATATGCTGTGTGGTACAGTAGTAACGGTCTCGGCTAGCAGTCATGCTCACCCGCGTCCAGTTCACACCGCCAGTGGTTGATAACCCCGACTAGGCCTCGCACAAAGGGGGTAGTTTAGAAGCCTGTCACACCAAGAATTACCATTGTAATTAAAATTATTTTTTTTATTATTTATATATATATATATATATATATATATATATATATATGCATATATATACATACATATATATATATGTATATATATGTATGTATATGTGTGCATATATATATATACATACATGTAAATGCATGTATAAGCACACGCACACATATATATATATACATATATCTGTATGTGCTTATACATTTACACTTACATATGTATACACATGTAAGCGTATGAAATGAATCACCTCCACCTTAAGTTCATTACTGAGACAAAAATAATTGTACCTTTTTGCTGTGACCTTGTGCCGATAAGTATTCAGATCGGAGACCAGTATATAAGCATCCACAGGTCTAAGAGAGAGCAGTCACTGCAGGTGAAGCCAACATAATGGTTAGTGATATGCCTTTATTCAGAGTTGGAACTTTCCTGTAATGTTCACTGCTGATGTTGCTTAGTGAGATATCAATGGGAAATAATAATGTTACTTAACATTGTGATGCTAAATAGCTAAATAGATAAATAAATAATAACATGTAAAGCTTATAATTAGGTTTTCGTAAAATGTATACCAACATCTTCTACAGGGAAAAACTAACAATACATATCTTTCAGATAACATTTCTTGTCATCGTGAGCACCGCCCTCGTGTGCTCACACGCCTTCGCTGCAAGGAGCTACTCGGGACTTCCCCTGGGGACGCCACTCGGAGGATTTTCGCAACACGGCACCCTTCACGGTGGTTTCATCCCCGGTGGTCTTTATGACAATGGTGCGTCCCTTGTCAACCACGGATTGTCACTGGGACATTTACCAGGACCGATATACAGGGATGGAGGCTACTTAGACTACGCATATAGCATTGGTGAAAAAATTGGAAATCCATATGGAAGTGCAAGATTTCTCAAATATTTATACGGAAACCGCCTAGGCCTTACCAGTTCATACGGTGGCCTACCAAACGTGAGAGTCGGTGGAATTAGCGAAGCTGAGGATGAAAGATCGTCTGACACTGGGTCAGAGAGCGGGCTTGGTGCTACAAACGATGCAGATTTCGTTTCCAACAATCAAAACTTAGCTTCCACTCAAAATGGGGTTTCTAGTTTACATTCCAGTCCTATTGCTACTTCGGGTGTCTTCCCCTCTGTTGCTGGACCTTATAAAACCGTTGCTGGTTTAAGCGGATTCCCTTATAACATTCGTCCATATATTTCCGCTGTTGGTTTAGAAAGATATCTTTATGGTCCTGGACCTCTCACCACTAATTATGGATTAGAAGGGTTCTCTTATGGCGTTGGGCAGCACACTGGCTTGGGAGGACTCCCCTACGGTGTTGCAGGTCAACCTTCTCTTCCTGGTTCGGGAGGTTTCCCTTCCGGTCTTACTCATGACACTCCTATTGCGGCTTTAGACCAGCAGTATAGATTCCTTTCGAGTGGTGGACCTCGTATTTCTGTTGGTGCTCTCGGTGGATTCCCTTATGGTCTTGAATCTCATACTCCTTTTACTGGTTTTACTGGATTCCCTTATGGTCTTGAATCTCATACTCCTTTTACTGGTTTTACTGGATTCCCTTCTGGTCTTGAACTTGGCTCTTCTCTTGGTGGATTCCATTCAGGTCCTGGACCTTACAATCCAGTTGCTTATTTAGATGGATCGTTTCCTGATCTTGGAATGCACACTACCGGTCTTACTTCAGGCAGATTCAATCCCGGTCAAGGACTTTACACTCCTAGAGCTAATCAGAAGTCATTCCATTCCAGCTCTGGATCTCGTCACTCCAGTAACGCTTCTTCTGAGAACAAGAATAAAAAAGCCAAGAAAACGGCAAAGAATTAGTGACTTCTGAAGGCAAACGTGAAGGTTTATAAACATACAGCTATCATTTTGTGTGAATAAAACAAAATTTATTGTTTGCTTTCACTTCTATCCCTGTGAATGCAACTTTTTCCTTTTATGAATGTCATTTGAAAAACTTTTTATGTAAAAGAGAAAGGGTACATGTCTATGAATGATAACTTTATTCCTTTATAAGTGTTGAATGGAAAACTATTTTTTTCAATATATAAAATAGAAAGGGTTCCTTTAATAGTAATGATAGAAGTTATACTATGCCAGCATAGTTAATATGTGTGTGTGTATAACAATGAATCATATATGCATTTAGACTTGAGATAAAGAAAGTGAAAGCCCAACAAAATATCCAGATCATAATGCCATCCTTTATGTCTTTGTCAGATAACTTTGGTGCATTAGGTCAAGAAGCTCTGCACAAGTCATTAATAACTTCTCTTCTACAATATCTAATCTTATTTCCTCTCATTTCTTCGCCAGGAATTGCCCAGTTGCTTTTAGCCTTCATACTTCTGCAAATACGTTTCTCTTTAAACCCGCTTGGTATGAGATTTTACTATATTGGCTGACATGCAACTCATTTGTTTAAGACAATCATTCAAGTTGATTGAGCTTGTTGAATGTTCTTTCCCATGATTACATCAAGGGTTCGTCTGCCCTTAGAATCTTCATTCCATGTGTTCTTACCATCCATTATCGGTCTATTTTTTTCGGGTGCTGATGCGAGTGCATAATACCAGCAAGGCTAATGAGGAGCAATCTTGTTTGCTTTCTTTCAAACCATTCCAATGTGTTTCTTCCCCTGCATAAATAACATTTACATCCATTCATCATGCTCCACATTATTTCTATAAAGTGATACATGTCTATCCAACATGGCTAATTCGCAACCTATTTCAAACGAGTGCTTGAAACGTATATATATGTATATATGTGTGTGTCTTTGTGTATGCAACTGTGTATATACATATATGTGTATATGTATATATATATGTGTGTGTGTGTACATAGACATGTACATACATATATATGTGTATGTGTTTCTGTACATAGACATACATATATATGAGTGGTTTTGTGTACATATACATATACATAATATGTGTGTGTGTTTAATAAAATATTTATCATTGTATGTGTATATGTTGCGAAAGTACCTATTTTCCTGTGTTATGTGTATGTGAACGAGTGCGTGCTTGCATGCTTGTGTGCGTACGTGTGTATATGCTTACACTGTGTGTATACTCATGTTTCTTTCCGCTTACACGTGTAGATGGTTTTAATGTGCATGCATTCGCATGTTTTTACATGTACAGATGTTTATGAGTTCGAGAGTATTATGTGATGCATAACAGTATGCGTGTGGACTTGTTTATGCGCATGCATGTGTTTGTCCACATATGCGTATAGGCGTGTAGTAAAAAAAAATAATAATAAAAACAAAAAATAAATAAATAAATAAAAAAACAGATATACAAGTGCCTCTCTATGTGTGTGCACTGTGTGCCTCCGTACATGTGTACATGTTTTTGTATATATCTATATATGTAAGTGATGTCTATTTGTGTATAGATATATAAGGATGTATGTATGTGTTAATATGCTTGACTCTAAACTATCCGTGCGTTTGTTCGTAAACGAGTTTCTGTAATGATAATTATAGAAAAAATATGTATCTTAAAAATGAGTCATCAGGTATTTAAACCTAAATAAGTCTCCCTTTTCGTCTTCGCTGACCTTGTGCACACAGGTATCAAGGCTTAAGACTTAAGGCGGAATAGTTACTCGTCTGGAAGACGTTGTGCACAATGGTTAGTATCATGTCTTGATTTAAACTCAGGATTTCTTTGAAACTACTTTGGGTAAAACAAATGCGTAAAAAAGTATCTATCAAGCATTCCATTTCTAAACTAATATGGCTATATTTTTCAGGCAATCTTCCTGATATCCGTGAGCATTACCCTTTTGTTCTCCCACGTCTTCGCTGCGAGCAGCTACTTGGGATTTGCCCACGGGACGCCACTTGGAGGATTTTCGCAACACGGCACTCTTCACGGTGGTTTCATCCCCAGTGGTCTTTATGACACCGGTACGTCCCTTGTCAATCATGGACTACCACTGGAACATTTTCCAGGACCGATATACGGAGATGGAGGCTACTTGGACTACGCATACGGCACTGGTGCATATTTTGGAAATCCATATGGAAAAGCAAGGTATCTCAAATACTTATACGGAAACCGACTAGGTCTTGTCAACCCATTTGGTGGAGTTAGCGAAGCTGAGGATGAAAGATCGTCTGGCTCTGGATCAGAGAGCGCGCTTGGTGCTACAAATGGTGCAGATTTCCTTTCCAACAATCAAAACGTGGATTCCACTCGAACTGGAATTCGTGGTTTACATTCCAGTCCCATTGCTGGCTTGGGTGGCTTCCCTTCCGCTCTTCTTCCTCACACTTCCAGTGTTGCTTTAGGAACATACCCTTATGCTCTTGGACCTCACACATCAATTGCTGGTTTCGGAGGATACCCTTATGGTGCTGGACATCCCACCTCTTTTGCTGCTTTTAGTGGAATCCTCCCTAATGTTGCATCTTCAGGCGCATTCCCGTATGGTCTTCAGCCTCACATCCCCATTGATTATCTAACTGGACTCCCATTGCTGGTGCAACTGGATTCCACACAGGTCTTGGGCCTCACACTTCAGTTGCAGGTGTGGGTGGACTGTCTCCTTATCTTGGACCGTACGCTGGTGGTGCTGGTTTTGGCAGATTCAACACCGCTTTTGGACAAAATACTCCTAATGCTGCCTCTAGGTCTCGCACCTCAGCCAACATGTCTTCAGGGAACAAAAACAAACAAGAAGCACATAAGCAATAATTTAATAGGACAAAGAAATGCAAAGAAATTTGATAGAATAAAATTACTTTAATCATTTATTTTGTAGTTCAACCTTCCTGAAAACATCCTTTCCTTCTTATTTCAATAAATGCTCTCGTTAAAAGTAAATGATTATTTAAATTAATTAATTTTTAATGTCTTCAGGGAGCAAGAACAAGCAGGAACCACACGACTAATAACTTTTTAAGAATAGAATTGCTTTTGTTATTTATTTTCTTTATTCAACCCTCCTAAAAACATCCTTTCCTTCTTTTCTAATGTTTAAGTTAAAACAGTCAATGAGTATTTGCATCAAACTAATGTTTAAGTATTTGTTGTAATATTTCTAGTCTAGCTGCGTTGAAACTAGGTTTATCATGCTTATTCATACCCAGAGTCAGTAAAGCGAAAAGGCTTTCGGCATATTTTGAATCTTTTCTTGCTCTTCCCGTCGTCTTATTGATAAGATTTATGATATAAGCTATAACGTGCCTGTTTCAGGATAGATCTGGAAAAGTAATATGCAAACATGATTCTCAGATTTTTTATTTTTAATTGTTCGGCGTTTCTCTCTATAACGGATGTTCTGACATGCTATTTCTTAATTCATAAGTAATTTGTTATATAGATTGCTGTTATTGAATTCTTTATCCACTGCCGCACTTTTTTGTGGCACCTTTTATTATATCATTTATAAATATTTATACAGTATGTATATATATACATATACCGGCATATATATACATACATTTATGTGTGTGTATGAAGGTATATATGCATGTTTTTGTATATATAAGTATATATATGGGTACACATATTCATTTATTGACATGAACTCACACGCATATAAATATATAAATATATTTATGTATACATCTACATATTTGTCTATCTATTTATATCAACATCTGTATCTATACATATATAGAATTATATACATGTATGTATATAAACCATATTTAATTAATAAAATCATATATATATATATATATATATATATATATATATATATATATATATATATGCATATAACATTTATGAACATATTTATTCATGTGTATGCATGTGTGTAAGAATATGAGTGTGTGTGTGTGTGTGTGTGTGCATATGGGTACATGTACGTGCCTATACCTATTCATATTTGTACACATTTGTACATAAACTGACAATTTACAAAATATTGCAGTAGACTAATGAAATGAAACACCTCCACCTTAAATTTATTGTCGAGACGAAAATAATTGTACCTGTTCGCTGTGACCTTGTACTGATAAGTATTTAGATCGGAGACCAGTATATAAAGCATCCGCGGTTATCAGAGACAAAACAGTCACTGTAGGTGAAGTCAACATAATGGTTTGTGATATGTTTTTATTCAGAGCTGGAATTTTTCTGTAATGCTACCTGTTGATGCTGTCTAATGATACCAATGGAAAATAATAAATAACATTTGATATTATGATACTAAAGAAAATCAAAAGTCTATAATCAGCTTTTCGCAAAATGTATATGATAATCTTCATACAGATAAACCTAACAATGTTTACCTTTCAGATAACTTTTCTTGTCATCGTGAGCTCCGCCCTCGTGTGCTCACACGCCTTCGCTGGGAGTAGCTACTTGGGACTTCCCTTGAGGACGCCACTCGGAGGATTTTCGCAACACGGCACTCTTCACGGTGGTTTCATCCCCGGTGGTCTTTATGACAATGATGCATCATTTGTCAACCACAGACTGTCACTGGGACATTTGTCAGGACCGATATACCGTAAAAGAGGCTACTTGGACAATGCATACAACACAGGTGTACATTTTGGAAATCCATATGGAAGTGCAAGATTTCTTAAATATTTATACGGAAACCACTTAAGCCTTACTAGTTCACACGACGGTCTATCAAACGTGAGAGTCGGTGGAATGAGCGAGGTTGAGGATGAAAGATCTGGATCTGTATCAGAGAGTGCACTTGGTGCTACAAACGATGCAGATTTCATTTCCAACAATCAAAACTTGGCTTTCACTCAAAATGGAGTCTCTAGCTCACATTCCAGTCCAGTTGCTACTTCCATGGCTGGTTTAAGAGGATTCCCCTATAACATTCGTCCATACACTTCTGTTGTTGGTTTAGAAAGATATCTTGATGGTCCTGGACCTCTCACCTCTAATTATGGGTTAGGA